CTAAAAATGTATCTAAAGTATCATGGGGTGGAAGCTCCCCCTTCTCAACACCTTCTTGATTTGCATCATCAACTTCTTCATCCTATTCTTTAGTGGAAACATCATCTTTATTTTCATATATTATATCTAAAACTTTGGAGCTTTGTTGATTGTTAACCGGTGCCTTGAAATCATAATACTGGTTTCATAGAAAACCATATCTGTACTTCGAATAACCTTCTTTAGCTCTGTGTGACATCCCCATTTTCACGGCCACAAAAGATCGATTTTGTTTATGCTTTATAAAAATCAGAGTTCTTCTTTTAATAAAAATGTTGCGGAATTCGTTCCCAGAAAAACATGATAAATACGTTATTAAAACATTTTCGAAGAAACGTATTTTATTCATTTTAAAACGTTTGGGATGTCATTGTCAATACAGGAACAAAAGCATAAACAGAACTTACATTTATTTACACTAGTGATCTACATCTCTTTGATCTCTCAGTGTAATGTGACTTCATATGAACACCTGTGATATAAATAAACTGAGTGGGTCAGGTTGGGAAACCTGGTGAGTACATAGGGATTTCAATCCCACAATGTTATACCATATATATAGTTTAAAATTCACAAAATATATAATTTCACCATACATATATATAAACAACTCTTATCCCACCCCGTCGATCCTCGCAACGAGGCTATCCATACTCTCGGACCTAAGATTAGTCATTTTACCTACTCCATACTCCCGGATCAGAAATGAACGAATTTACCAAATCCATTCTCTCGGACTAGGGAAGAATGACTAAACCATACTCTCGGATTAATGATGAATGATTATGCCTAATCCATACTCTCGGACTAGGGACAATGACTAATCCATACTCTCGGATTAATGATGAATGATTATGCCTAATCCATACTCTCGGACTAGGGATAATGACTAATCCATACTCTCGGATTAATAACGAATGATTATGCCTAATCCATATTCTCGGACTAGGGACAATGACTATGTCTAATCCATACTCCCGGATAAGTGACATATACTAACTTCTATTCTCTGAGTTTAACTCACTTGTACTCGTAAGAATATACTACCCAATATTCCTCATATTTAATTTAGGTCTACTCTTTATCCTAAATTATCAAATATAATCAGGTATGTTCTTTAACATGAATTTCAAGCAACATCAATTAACTCGCACATAAACATATAATTAATACTTCAATCAATACTTGTATTAAAATCATGTTCATGAAAGGGACTATGCACTCACTTGAAAGGTGGTGACTCAGCACTCGGACAGCGCTTCGATACTCTCAAAACAATTTCCTTCGATAAAATCTAGTATCAATACCACTATGGTTTAGTCTAATGATAACCGTGACTAATTAATAGTCTGACTATTATTATTATTATACAAGCGTTAAATAACACTCAATATAACTCATAATAATAGCCCAAATACTCATTATAAGTTCCTAATAATGTTACTATATTAAAACATAAGTTATACTAAAGATAGCGTAGGCATAGCTCACTTACAGCGGGTTTTCTCGAAAACCGGGCTTCGCTGGAGCAGCGTTTCCGAGCCGAAAGACCCTTTTTCTTGGGACACCGGGAGCCTCGGGGATTCCTTCGGGTGCTAGGGGGGTTTACCTAGGCTTTTAGGGGGGTTAGGGGGCTAGAGAGAGAGTCTAGAGAGAGAAAGAATAGTTTAGGAAGGTGTGAAGAATGAGGGAACCCGGAACCTCTATTTATAGGGGAGGAATCTGATGGACTCATCGAGTCTGAGTCATGACTCGTCGAGTTGGTCCATGTGGTGGCCTTCTGGTGGTGCCACGTGTCCAATTCTGGTGGTGCCACGTCACCCCCTATCGCGTATCAGCCTTCAAACTTAGAAAAATCATAATTTTCGCATACGAGCTCCATTTTTGACGTTCTTTATATCCACGCGTAGGTAAAATCAAGATCTACAACTTTTGTTTAGACTCCGTCAGCTAATTCTCGACCGATCTCAAATTTAACAGTAGGAGGCGTTTAGACTGTTAAATGACCGCGAAGAGTTCATAACTCCTTCATCCGGACTCCGTTTTCGTCTGTCTTTTTACCGTTGAGTTCCTGTTAATGAGACCTTCAACTCTCATTTAGGTTGCGTAAGCCAAAAACCGATCGAACTAAAATTCGAGTTTCGGGCCGTGCACTGCTAAGCCGACTCTTAGAAATATCATAACTTCTTCATACGAAGTCAGATTTGGGCGTTCTTTTTATCGATGTTCTTAGTTTAACATATTCTACGACTTTTGTTTAGATTTCTAAGACTAAAAAGTCTTCTATCGTAAATTCACTATTTACGTCTCCCGGTGCCGTGCCGGTTTTGCCGTAAAACTTCGGCGGGCCATAACTTCTTCGTTATAGCTCCGATTTCGGCATTCTTTATATGTACGGAAACCTTGAGACATATTCCACAACTTGGTTAAGATTATTTATTCTAAATAATCTCATATTTCCTCTAATTTGACTAGCCCGGATCTACGGGCGTTACACTCTAGCTCCCATAGCATGTACCCGAACTCTTCATCTCCATATCCAATAAAGATGCATGGAGTGGATTTGAGGTCATTTTAAATATTATGTCGTGTATGAGCAAATGTCATTTTAAAGTCACAACTTTTGTATAATTTATGATTTTTTGTAAAATTGTTAAATTATTAATTTCAATATAATGGTAACCAATTAAGCTTAAATCAAAATTTCTGCTAAATTAAAAAAAAATTGAGTGACAATTTTATAAATAGTTAAAAATTATAAATTACAGTGTTAAATCTAAATTGCAATCCTAAATTAGAAAAAAAAAACCATGAAACTATTTTTTTTTATAATAATTAAGAATTTCAAATAAGTAGGTTAAAAATAACTTACAATAAGAGAATTTAAAAGTAATATTATATAAAACATTATAATGTTATCTTTAAATTAAAAAACAATGTTTGTTGTTTAAAATAGTTATAACAAAAAAAACTAACAATATTTATCAAATAAATTTTAAAAAGTTAAATTCCTGAAACCGAATTAAATTAATTAAGAGTTTCCAAATATGTTATTTTAAATAATTTGTAAGAACAATAGTTAAAAATAACATTATATATAAAATTTATATTGTTACCTTTAAAAACTAAAACAATATTTGATGTTTGAAATAATTACAATGATCGAACTTAAAATTTTAAGCAAATAAAGTTTTTAGAATTTATTAATCTAAACAACTATAAATATCCGTAAAATATATATTATATTTAATTTTATTCTTGAGTAACACGCATTAGAGGCCATTGAGACAATTGAGATTAAAGAATTTTAATAGATGTTTATATTATCATATAATTGAAAACAAACAATGTTTATAATAATTTATTATAACATTTATAATAATTTATTATAAAAGTTAACAACGTCATTGATATATTTAAAAAAACATTCATTTATAAAGATTCCAAATATATTATTGTATTTTACGCAACGCGTAGATATCCGTTTATATATATTATATATATATATATATATATATATATATATATATATATATATATATATATATATATATGGGCTAGGTTGTAATGTGGATGGACAACTGTTGTGTGGACGTGTGGATAATACTATTTTATGAAAATTACTAAAAGAATATGTTGTTTAATAATGTAAATACGTTCAATCTCACAGAACTATTGTTATTTTAATGAATTATTACCAGTTGTAATTCATTTTTGTTCTAATTTATCGTTTTTTTATTTATTTTAATTCTTACAGGGTACGACTCAATAAACATCCTGATAACATTGTGACCGAATAAGAATAATTAAAAAAAAATGTATAATAAGCTTATAGACGATTTAATTAGTGAAAATGCTTAATAATTAAAATAATTATATAAGATTAAACGTATTTATATTATCAAACAACATATTTTCTTTGTAATTCTCATAGAATAACATTATTCACATGTCCACACAATAGATGTCAATTCACATTTGAACTTAACTCTCTCTCTCTCTCTCTCTCTCTCTATATATATATATATATATATATATATATATATATATATATATATATATATATATATATATATATATATATATATATATATATATATATAGGTTCAGGGTCATTTGAGACCATTCTAATTTTGTGAGACCGTAAGACCAAATCTAAAAATAATTTTAAAATACAAAATAAATGGAAAAATTCAAAAATTCTTTTTTTGAATATTATTTTCGGAACTTAAATTAACTAAAAAAAATTAAAATTAAAAAAAATAAAAAATAAAATAAAAAAATCCCGTTTTTTTTTTTTTTTTAAAAATACGTGAAATATTCTAAATATAATATTACACTGATATATTATAAAAAATAATTTTAAAATGCAAAATAAATGGAAAAATCTAAAAATTTCTTTTTTAAATATTATTTTCGGAACTTGAATTAACTAAAAAAAATAAAAAAAAAATTATATTTTTTTTTGAAAAATGCATGAATTATTCTAAATAGAATATTAGACTGTGGATATTTTAAAATGCCAAATAAATGGAAAAATAATAAAAAAAAAATTTTTAAATATTATTTTCAGAACTTGAATTAACTAGAAAAAATTTAAAGTTTTTTTTAAAAAAAATAAAGAAAATGTGTCTCACGGTCTCACAAAATTAGGCCGTATATATATATATATATATATATATATATATATATATATATATAATATATATATATATATATATATATATATATATATATATATATATATATATAGAGAGAGAGAGAGAGAGAGAGAGAGAGAGAGAGAGAGAGAGAGAGAGAGAGAGTTGACCCAAGGAGTATAGATCCTTTAAGTATTTATGTGAATCGTGTTACTTCACAGAAACTCATGTATCGAAATTAAGCTTCTTTCAATTAATCCCTCATATTTTTATTGCTAGGAACGTTTAACGTTTTTTTCACAAATTTAATCGACCTCTTAAATGTCATCTTTCTTGAGAGAGTTTGAGCACCTGAAAATTCCACTTCAAACCATAAAAGATGCCACCAACAACTTCGGTGAAGACAAATTCATTGCTGAAGGTGGATATGGGAAGGTATATAGAGGCGAATTCTTAGGCTCCGAGGGGGTGATGATCACGGGTGCTGCAAAACGGTGGAGTACTTCCAACGAGGATGGAGATCCCGAGTTTCAAAGGGAGATCATGTTGCTTTCCGATAATAAACATGAAAATCTCATCTCACTCCTGGGATTCTGTTATGAGAATAACGAAAGGATCCTTGTGTATAAGTACGCACCAAATAAAAGCCTCGACTTTCATCTACAGGACCCCAACTTCACTTGGATTCAACGTCTCAAGATATGTCTTGGAGCTGCACGTGGCTTGGAGTACCTTCACAATCCCAGGGGTGCCCAACGTGTCCTCCATTTTGATATCAAGAGTGCCAACATCCTATTGGATGAGAACTGGAACGCCAAAATTGCAGATTTTGGCTTATCCAAATATGGTCCTGCCACCAGAAATCGCTCGTATCTTATCACTCAAGCCAAAGGCACTCAAGGTTATGCTGACCCGGTGTTCTTACAGACGATGATATACACTAAAGAATCAGACGTGTACTCTTTCGGTGTGGTATTATTCGAAGTCTTGTGCTCAAGATTTTGTTTTGATCCCAAGTTCAATGATAGACGCCGATCCCTTCCAATATTGGCAAAGACCTCAACTAAAGAAGAGATACGAGATAATTATGTCAGTTTCGATCTTAGGCAACAAATGGAAGAGGATTCTTTCGATAAGTTCGTTACAGTTGCACACCAATGTTTAGGAAAACAGCAGAAACAACGGCCATCAATGGATTTGATCGTGAAAGAGATTGAAACTGCGCTCAAATTTCAAGTATGTTCTACAACTCTTCTCTTTATTACTTGCCCAATATCAACAATCGCTACAAAAAATCAAATAACATTGAAACAGCAATTAATGCAATCTAACCCAAAAAACTGAGACAACTTAACAATAAATATAAGGGATTAGTTTCAATAGTTTTTTAGTACGTAGTTCGCTTTTGTGATCATTAAATTATGTAATAA